GTTCGCTAAAAAAAGAAAAAAAAAAGAATCTCCAGATTTTTCGTTTTCCTATGGAAAAAAAATGCGAGCGGATAAGAGCGGGAATTTACACGATTCTAAATTAACGGGCCTAAATTAAATACCGATATAATAACGGCGCGGTGTTATTCGCCGTTCAAGGTGCAAATTTCCCGGTTTGAAAATACGATCCCATACTTTCACGTTGGCCTCCCCGTTCCAATGCCTGGATATCGCCTATCGCGCTCCATGGAAATAATATTCTTGACATTAATATGACCAATACGCGGCTGAGCCACGGTATTGCGACAGTTCATGCTAATGCATGTAAAACGCCTCTATTTTTGTCACGCACCGCGCCACTGTTAAAGGGAGAAGTGTAATTATTACCGCATGAATAATTAAATTCCCGATAATTATGATAAACAAGTGTCATAACTTCTTCCAAGTTCCGATTACGTTACGAAATGAAACGTTACGCGTCGTGTCCACCAACGATCCAGAATATATATATATATAAATAACAACCACGCGCCTTTTAACGTTTCAACCATCCCGGGTGAAATATCTCGGAGAGAAGAGATCTGATCTTTCCTTTAATTAATAAGAACGATCGATCGACGTGCAGGGAGAAACGTTGCAACTTAATTGCAGGGCCAACGGTGTTGGGAAATCGAAGTGAACTGTCGCCTGTGCGTATATCGGCCAAGTGAACGGCTGCTCTCCCCTCGATCCGAGAGAGAGAACCAACCGACACAGTTCGAGATTCTTAAATAGTTAATATTCCTGAAGGTTGCCTATTAATAATACCAAGTGGCAGCCCTGCTAAGTAAACACGCAATCGTGCCACACTTGTCGAATCGAATGGGGTAAATGGGGTAATATCCGCCCGATTCTTCTCCGATATTCCACGAATCTCTATCTCGATCAGAAATATCCCCGATACGGGACGAAATAATTCATCTTGCTTTACCCGAGGAATCGTCTCGAAAAACAAGATTGGAGAGAATTGATCGTCGTGAACAACTTTTTTCAGTGCACGAGATGAGACCGGAGGACATCGGGATCCTGGCGTTCAGAGGCGATCCCGACAAGCAACCCTTCATGGTTGGCTACTTCAAGAGTTCCGGCATCAGGGAGTCGAAGGTGCGACAGAAGCGGGATGCCAGGAGAAGAAAGAAGAGCGAGTCATCGAGCCTGGATTATCGGAATAATCCGTACACCGGTAAGTGCGAAAGAGGTAACGGCCGTGATCGATCGAGTGAATTTATTCGTTCGAGGGAGATTCGATTCTCTCGACCCGTGTTTAATCGCGAAGAGAAAGGAGGGAATATATGCAGGATAAGACGCGTGCTTATAATAGGATTAACAATTTTAACCGATCGTTTTGCCCTCATCTGATTTTTGTTCCATCATTCCAAATTGAACGATCATAGATAAACGATTGGACGCGCTTTGTGCGAACTTCTCCCGCAACTTCTCTAAAATATAATATATTTTTAACCTCTTGGCGCACTTGTCCGAGTTAATTAACTTGTGAGATCTGTGGTATTTTTTTTGATCCTTCTTTCGAATTAATTCGGTTAAGCGAAGTTAAGGTACGATTGTCTTTTTTGACGGAAAACGATATTTCTTTTGCGTTGTTTTTTTTTTTTTCGAAATTTATTAATGCTGTTTTGCATTTTAAGAAGACAGTGAATAAAAAAATTGATGGGAAAACGAGCGCTTTTGAATTTTGAATTAATTGGTGCGTTAAGGGGTTAAAGAGCGTGTGTATACTTCGAATCGTTCTAAAAGAAAAAGAAAAAAAAAAAAGAAAAACAACGTACCCGTTCGAAGCGATTAAAAGAGAGGATCATCATCGTCATGTTGCAATTGTTGTCCAGATCCCGGTACACAGTACAACTCGAGGACCTGCAAAATCCAAACGTTGTACGTCAGCTTCAGGGATCTGAAGTGGCAGGTAAGACGGTGGTTGAATTGAATTGGTGGCTCGGTTGATCGGCGACCGATGAATTATTATTTTTTCCAGGACTGGATCATAGCACCGGACGGATACGACGCATATTATTGCAGCGGCGAGTGCAATTTCCCTTTGAACGCCCATATGAACGCGACCAATCACGCGATCGTCCAAACGCTGGTGCACCTGGTCAGCCCTGGTAAGGTACCAAAGCCTTGCTGCGCCCCCACCAAGCTCTCGCCGATCTCAGTGCTGTATTTCCTCGACGAAAGCAACGTTATACTGAAGAAGTACAAAAACATGGTCGTCAAGAGCTGCGGTTGCCATTGATCGGCCGGGATTACCGACACCACGAGTGTCCACGAATACCCCAGAACTGAACTGCGAATCGACACCTTGAAATCTTGAATCGGTGCAATCCAATTCGCTTTTCATTTCCTGCCTCTTTTCCTTTCTTTCATTTCGATCGAGTTCGCAATCTCGTTCATTCGGAGCGATAAGATATGG